ATATTAGATTTAAATCACTTACAATTGTTTAAATGGGCTAAAAATACTAAACTTAATTAACATAATCTCCTGCTGCTCAAGAAACTGATGCCAATTGATGAAAATCCAACCCTATATTCACGGAATTTAACGAAAAATGGGAAAGTCGGGCTGTGGAAAAAGTAAATATTGTCTATTATTATAAGTCAGGGGACCTCTAAGGACAGTCCTACGGAGAGATTTTAAAGAGTTTTACGGACGGCAGATAGGCCCTGACTCGGAAGCAATTTGATTTAATGCTCGAAAAAATATAGAAAAGCACACCGTGCTCGCTACTGACTACCTTATGGTGCATATTTGTTTTCAACCTAGTTTAAAGTTTAAGACTGACTGATACATTCGTATTGACTTGAGAATACTATTGGACTACTGCTGAAAAGAAATCAAATTCAGAGATATTGTGAACTTTTTCACTTTTAGAGGATAAAAAGGTCTAGAGGTTAAGCTAATGCACTTGATTTTCAAAAAACGGTAAAGAATACAATACAAAAACACAGACTTACACTGTGAGGACGATTCTACCGTAGCAAAAAAGGTTTTACGTAAGGGCTGCAGAAGCACATCGCACACGAGTCGCCTTAGCGTATTCATGGCTCTGGCTAGCGCAAGTGACAGCTGCCGGGAATTTCGCCAGATGCGTTATCGACCAAGAATTTGAATCGATCGATTAACATGCGCTGAACGCTAGCTCGGACACGTGCTTATTCAGACTGGCCCAGCAACGGTTACTGGGCCGAAAAAAAGGCCAAACCACGACTTGTAAATTTCCACTTAGACGCTGGGCGTATTGCCCTTATTTCTTCTGGGTGGTGGCAGGTTGGGAGTCTAGACTTGGTCTCAGCGTGACTAAACCAAAGTCTATGAAAGGATAGATATGCGTAATTTGCAACCTCTTTAAATGATCAAATGCAAACCCACTAGCTAATTTGATTTATTGTCAGCTTCCAAGCAATGTCAAAATAGATATGCAGTGGGGATCAAACTGACGGTGAAAATACTCCTGAATGGTAGGAATCTTACTAATGCTTGCCAGTAACTGGGATTATTTACGATAAAAAACGAATTCCGTGGAAATAGTAAAAGTTACATGTCAAACAAATACAAGTCCATGCTTAGTGAAGTGTAAATCAGTTGTTTTAAGTTTAATGTTTCAGAATCCCTTTGAGTTAATTCGCATTACTTCACAGACTAAAAAGTGAATTCATCATGGCTAGCTTCCTGGCATAAGTTATTTTTAGGCTCCCTTGGCTAGTTCGCTGTCCTGCCCAGCGTCAAACCGAGATCATTTTGCACTTTCGGGTGAAGGAAGATTACAAACAAAGACATAGAGGCTGTAAGGCTTAGGTGGAATGAGGTCTGCTCCTCCGGTGAGCATGAACAAAAATAACTGATAGCACTGTTCTACTTTGCTTACAACGTCTGACAGCTTGAAACCACGAGAATTCCGTAAGATAGAACTTGGGTTTCCGTCATGTGTGTTATTTCGCAAAAAGGTCTAGAGCAACATAAAATCTATAACGACTTAGATGAGCAACTTACTGTTGAAGTCCCTCAGACTTCTTAAAAGCAGTTATTCCACCCTACCCGGTTGGTCTTCCTATTTATTAAAGGCAGCACCTCCCTTCCCTCTGAACAAAAAACTTATTTTATAGCATTCCCTTCTTTGCAATATCGGTGTTGAGATTCATTGTAAGTCAGTGAAGTCTGTTTGTTGAGGTGGGCCGTGTTAGGGGAGAGTGGCTCTTCGTCAGATAAATAAACTGCTAGTTGGATAACCTTCAGCCCACAGGGGGGCCCCAGAAAGTAGAGCATCGATGGTTTTTCGCAATGGCTTGGTTTGCAATTGGCGAATACACCTATTGCAAACGATGTGGGAAAGAGGATCGCTCTCTTATTACAATTCTGCACGAAAAACCCTGACGGAGTGGTGGTAGGTCTTTTTTGACCTCGTCAGGATCTTTAAATAAGGTGAAATCCAATCGAAAAGACCGCTGCTTTCCAAGTGGTCGTATTGGAACCAGGACATGCTGGGTGAGAAGAGATCAGGTGTGGTCTTTAAAAGATAGGAAACAAAAGCGAACTTTGAGCACTTCGCGTACATCTCGCTCTATTGAATACCAGCTGTATTTTCATCACCCATGAGTACAAAAACATGGTGATCACCAATTCCCTTTATGGTCCCCGTGTTTGTTGAATCTGCCTCGGGGATACGCCCTCGGAGCTCAGGGAACTGCTACATCCGTGCCTCTATATTAAGCTAAGTAGCTGCCGTAGCTTCATCA